GGGTGAGTCTGGTCAGTTCATTTGATCAACTGCAGTTGTCTGGTACTGACCGAACGCTGAGTGGAGGAGCACTAGACGCTGGGGTGCCTACGACCGGTCAACTTCAGAGAGGTTTTAGAGAGGCTTTTTCTTGACCGGACACGTCCAGTGTGTGCTGACCGGACGCTGGTCATAGTCCGGTCAATCAACTGCAGTTGTCTGGTACTGACCGGATGCTAAGTGGAGGTGCCGACCGAACATTGGGGTGATTGTGTCCGGTCCACTCCAGAGAGGTTCTAGAAAGGCTCTTTCTTGACCGGACGTATCCGGTGGGTGCTGACCGGACGCTGGTCAGAGTCTGGTCAGAGCTTAATGGCTCTCTCTAACACTGTGGCGGGTATAACTGACCGGAGCGTCCGGTCACCCTGACTGGAGCGTCCAGTCATCCCATAGAGTGCTGACTCAGCCTCCAAACATTATGTTTTGAATGAGGGGGTATAAATACTTACTCCACTCGTCCATAGAAGGTCTCTTGCCCATTTATTTAGCAGAGAAACACCTTTAGAGTGCAAGGGGGAGCAAGAGCCTAGTGAGGTGATCGAGATTTGATAATCCAAGATTAAGGACCTCATTAGTGCATAGGAAGTAGCAAGTGTGCATCCACCCTTCTCATTAGGCTTGTCTTGGTCAAGTGAGAGTTTGTGCTTGTTACTCTTGGTGATCGTCATCACCTAGACGGCTCGGTGGCGATTAGGAGCTTGGTGATCATCCGACGGAGCTTGTGGATGACCCAAGTCATGTTGTGAGCGGTTGTGGGCGATTCACCGTGACGGAGTGTCAAAGAATTAGCCCGTAGAGAGCACTTGATCCTTGCACGGATCAAGCGAGAGCTACACCCTTACGTGGGTGCTCCAACGACGACTAGTGGGGAGTGGCGACTCTCCGATACCTCAGAAAAACATCGCCGTGTTTGTTTCCCTCTCTTTACTTTGAGCATTTACATTTGAGCAATTCATTTCATGTCTTTATATTCCTAGAATTGCCATGCTAAAGTAGGATTGGAACCTAGGATGCAAAACTTTTATGCAGGAGAACAATAGAAACACATTCTAGGCACAAGGGGTGAAGTGGGCTAAGTATAGAACTTAATTATTGTAAAATTTAGAATTAGCCCAATTCACCCCCTCCTCTTGGGCATCTTGATCCTTTCAATCCTCATCAGCCTGCGCTAAATGGGCCTCAGCCTTGCTCTCTTGCTTGCGATTTGGGTACTCCTTTGCCCAATGGCCCGTCTTCTCGTAGCGCCGGCAGGCATTGGGGTCGACATTCTTCTTCTTCTCCTAAGAAGTCTTGCCGCGGCATTTGCCATCGCCACCGCGGCTAGAGTAGGCTTCCCCAGACTTCTTCATCTGGGCAGCCCACTCCTCCTCTGTCCGCAACAACTTGCCGCTGTCCGTCGTTGCTATGGCCTGCTCAATGCGCTCGTGCACCACCCGCAGACGGCCTGTCACATCCTTAATGGTGAGGGTGGACAAGTCCAGCATCGTCTCTATGGAGATGGCGATCTGGATGTACTTCACCGGCACAGAGTGGAGGTACTTGGAGACCGTCTCTTCTTCGTCGATGGTGATGCCGTGGCTCCTCAGCTTGCTGATGAGCGACTACAGGTGAAGGGAGAAGTCCTCCACCGACTGACCATCCTTGAACTTGAGGGTGACGTACTCCTGCTTCAGCAGCTGGGCCGTTGCCTTCTTTCCACGGTTAGAGCCGACGCACATCGCTGCAATAGCCTCACACGCTTCCTTAGCAGAGTTCTTCGCCCCAACGGCTCCCTATACTCCATTGGCACAACAGCAAGGATAGCCTCCAATGCTAACAAGTTGTCTTCTTCGTTGTCGGTGCCCTTGTCAAAGGCATTACAGAGCCGTCGGGCTCTGAGCTTGACCTTCATGGTCACCGTCCACTCACCATAGTTGGTGCGAGTCAACGTTGGACAACTGGTGCCACTGACCTCCCGCACCATGTGCACGATGACCTCCTGTCGTGACTGGGCAGCCACAGTAGCGCCACTACTGTCGCCCATCTTCAAACCGTCCGTCATCGCCAGCGGTTAGTCCTGCATGGGTGAGCCGACCGCTTGTACGGCTCTGATACCACTTGTTGGCCCCGGGATCTCCTGCACGGGTGAGCCGACCGCTCACCGGCGTTGCCGACCACACACTATGGCTAGAGGTAGAAGAAGGAAGGGAGAACAGAGCGTACACACACCGCACAAGCACCAGCGTTGGCCGAAGCTCTGTAGAGGAGATGGCAAAATTAAACTCGCTCTCTTTACTGAGTTGCAGTGGGAAGCTATATATACAACTCTACCCATCTAATCCTATTACACAGACATGTCGGGCGACCATTCTGCTACAGTGACTAGATGTGACAGCAGGGCTGACTTTGGCGCCTGCCCCTGCTATGGCTACAGTGCGGCAGGAGAGCCTTTCGGTGCCTACCCCTACTACGGCTATAGTGCAGCAGCAGGAAACCCTTTCGACACATGCCCTTGCCGTGCGTTCACACGATGGGAGAGCAGCAGATTACTTTACAGGAAGTTATATCTTCTATGTCGGCAAAACCACAAAATGATCAAATACCGTTGCACGCACGTTTGGGCTTTGATTGTACTAAATCGATGCTCGGCTTATTGACTAGTATAAACATTTGCAGGATCAATGCTAGCTTTTGTTGGGAAAAGAAACAAAACTCACCACCTTGTGTTTCTGAGGCCAAGGAATTCAGAGTCCGACAGTGTCAGCAGCCGTCGATCTCCAGGGAGGAGGAGCACCAGAAGCAAGGGAATGGAGAGCAGCAAGATGATCCTGACAAGCCTGGGCTGTCCCCCGCGCTTTGGCATGGCTGTGAAATGTCGCCCAATTAGTCCCGCCGGCGCAAGAAGGTGGCCGGTGAGCAGCAACGAATTCATAGGGGAAGGTTTCGGTACGTGTCAACTGCGTGGCAAGAAGCTCTGCTTGATCGTGCCTTCGTGCTCAGCACTCCAATACGTCTGCTCTCGGAGAATCATATGGGCATGCAGTGACGTGCGAAGAATAATGCACTCCACATTTTTCTGAACATGTTAGCATTACATACATAGAGGGTAATGGGTCATTAAGATTTGGCACATATGAATAGGCATCGAAGGCCAGCAACAGTGTAGCACGAATCATTGTGCGACTGCGACCCATGCATTTGGATACGTGCATGTCCAATTATGGATGCAAGCGGGCCACTCTACAGAGTGCCTGCGGGCGGCCGCATCATCCGCCCTAGATTTTTAACTATACCTGCAGAGCCTGCTAATGCCTGCACTAGTTCCTGCAACGTCCTGCTGGGCTTTGCGGCAAAAAAGCAGCAGGTTGCAGATATCTACAGGCGTCTGCATGCTAAATACAACTTATTGTTCCTTTTGGCTAATTCATTAGTTATTCCAACCATTTAGACTTTTCCATACAACTCAAACATGAACATACGTTAATAGTCATTCACATGATCATTTCAGATATTCACCACAATCAACCACAAAGATTACATGATTTCAAATATTCTTCAATATATAAGTGGCTTTGTCTTCTACTACAAGAATGCTCACACCACTGCAGCTTATCACTAGAGTTTTCTATGATTCCATTTCCAACATCTTCTGAAATTCACCATTCTTCAAAGGGGCGCCCCAACCCCAAGAAGCCATAGATTCGTGTCACAACCTGTCACAACCACCACGAGATTCTACTTTGACATAATTTACATGAACAAGCTAAGCACTGAAGAGGCAGGTACACATACATAAAGCATTAACAGTAGATTTGATGGATAGCCATATGAGCATACATGCAATTTTTGGAGCATTGGCAGCTACTAAACTAAATATCAGGACTGCTGGGTAGTAAACTACCATAAGAACTACCACTGGATGAAGGTCTTCAAAGAGGAGGCATAAGTAGGACAAGTGAGAATGTCATGGTAGAATGGGCACAATTTCAATCTTGAATTTCTGCAAGAATGCAACATCATTGTCAAAAAATGCTGCATATAGTGATAATAGTACATTATTCTTTCCAACAATGAAAACTATCCATTAGTGTCACGCATAAAGAAATATTCTACTACTACATGCTTATCTTATCATTCTACTTTCAATTTCAGTCCAGATGAATAAATACAAATGTACAAGACTCTATTCTACTACTACAAGATTACTGCTGCAAAAATGTCAAGCAGTAGGATCGAATTCAACGGATGGGGAGAGGGTCCCCCACCTGACTTCATTCAAATTAATTTGTTGCCCAAGGGGCTGGATGGTTCGAAATACATGGTTGTTTTTGTGCCACCGCGCTTCACAAAGACTCACACACCCTCCTAAAGTTTACATTGCGTTTGTGAGTAGATTACACCAGGTAGCTACGACATGTCTGTCCTTCTCAAGTTGCCTTGTTGGCCATAGATTGGCCTCAGTCTTGCACACACCCAGTGTCCCCGACAGACTGATTTGCTCGTTTCTAAAAACAAATGCATTTCAACGCTTCAAGATATGCCAGGAACATAGCAAAAGGAAAGTGCTAAACTGCTTCTCGGGAATGTGATCAGGACGTCGTATATTCATCAGAGCATTCACGTGCCAGTCGCTGGAAGTGGAGACATCCTAGAAACACCTGGCCCGGAGGCAACTGAAGAGGACATGAGCCGGCAATTCTTCGTCATAGAGGCAAACGTCACAGATCGCGTTTTGAAGAATGGATTTCTTCAGCAGATTAGTCTTGTATTGGATTCGACCTTGCCAGAGCTAGCAGCCAGGCAAAGAACTTGACCCGTGGTGGGGCTTTGTTGTTCCAGACAAATTTTGCCCAACTATGAGGAGCTGAGTCAGCTGTTTTTAGTGCATGGTAAATGGTTGTAGAGTCTAGGTCTCCATCTATTTTTAGCAAAGGGCTGCATTGCTTGTCCCTGGAGTTTGCGAGTCTAACTCTTGAAAGCACCTCTTGTACGGAACTCAGTCGGGTTGTTGCCATTGGTGATAGACTGGGCACCAAAAACCATAGCAGACCCTCTTTGCAGGCTTGTTCCACTGACAGTCTGGTTTTGTGCACTGGCTGTGAAGATCCGGATAAACATCCAACATGGTGTCTTTCCCATCCCAGACATCATACCAGAAGGAAGTTGCCTGGCCATTCCCTATCTTGATAGTTGTTATAGCTCGATAATTAAATGGGCATGGCTAGCGTCAGGACGTCCACGCCTGCCCAGTCGCGATGTCCGCCCTAACTATTGCGCCTCACCTCCTCCTATGTGCCTGCCCTAGCGCCGAGCACCCACCTACACGCCCTGCTCCCTCAGTCTCGCATGCGCCAGCAGTGTCCTCTCTCTAATGCATGCAGCTGCAGGAGTGTCAGCAATTTCTCCTCTATATGCACGGTTCTCACACGAAATTAATGCGCTCCACTCACGAAGAAATGGAACAGACGCCTACCCCGCCTGCCCCGCATGCAACTGCTGCACCTACACACCCGCCCCTGCACGCTGCAGCGCCTGCACGCCGTGCACATATGTAGCTACACGCCACATACCTGTTGATGCGCATGCAGGTGGGAACCACCCTTGCCCTCTTCGCTTGCCGTGCACGTGGGGACCGCCTCTGTATGCGTTCGCTTTCTACGCCCGCTAATGTTGCAACATGAACCACATCTGCAACATACATCTAAAACAGGTGAAACATTTATAAACATACGTTTGCAACATTTGTGTATAGCAACTGCAACATCCAAATAAACACACTTGACAACATACATCTGAAACAGATGAAACATTTTTAATAGAATCTTGCAACATATGTGTATAGCCACTAAAACATATATAACATTAAGATAAAACACTTGCAACATACATCTGAAACGGATGAAATGTTTGAAACATACACTTGCAATATATGTGTATGTCCAATGCAACGTATGCAACATCCAGATAAAACACTTACAACATATGTTTGAAACAGCTAAAACATTTTAAATATACACTTGCAACATACGTGTATAGTCATTACAATATATGCAACACCAAATATACTTTTGTAATATTCAGATAAAATATATGTAAAATACATTTTAAACGTATGAAAGATACGGTTGTAACATGTGCTCATCTATTTACTGCCGGGCAACGAAGGCTAGTTGACGTGACGTGGGGGAAGGCAGCGCGTGGCGTGGGCGGCACACGGCACGAGGCACGAGCAGAGGCGCGAGGGCACGAGGCATGGACAGCGCGCACGAGGCACGGGGCACCCGCGGTGCGAGGCGGGTCCAGTGCATGGCGTGACTACGCAAGGCGTAGGAGCGCACGGCGCGAGGCGTAGGGGCACGCACCACATGGCAGGTCCGTCCAGTCCGTTCGTCCGGACACCCTGAGGGTGTCCTTATCGTAATTAAATAGGCAGGAAGAGGGTATCTTAACCCTTGTTTAGTTGGAGAAATTTGAATTTTTGGGTTACAGTAGCACGTTCGTTTTTATTTGGCAAATAGTGTTCAAACATGGACTAATTAGGCTCAAAACGTTCGTCTCGCAATTTCCCACCAAACTGTGTAATTAGTTTTTCTTTTCGTCTACATTTAATGATCCATACACGGGCCGCAAACATTCGATGTGACAAGTACTATAGCAACTTTTTAAAAGTTGGGTTGTAACTAAACAAGGGCTTAATTAAATTGCAGCAAGGAGCGAAGTGTCGCCCAATCTTGACAGAAGGATTGTTGCATGTCCAATGTTTAACGTAACGACTGACACCAAATTAAAATCTGCAGTTTTGAGGAGCACGTATCCAAACGCATGTCCAAATTATGGTACTATCTGTACATTAGTGGAAAACTAAACGAACAAACTCGCAGAAGACACATGGTTATCCATATGTATATTGATGTGAGATTATGGATGGCTTAGCGTCACCTTATTTTATTTTACAGAGAGAAGAAAGTTCGAATAGGCTAATCCGCGAACGATCAATGGATTGAAAATGAGCGATCAATATTCCAACATAGTATAATTTCTTTTTTCTAAAAGGTTGCTGCACGCTCTCGCGAGCGCATGCGCCTGCATGCCTGACTGTGAATCATCCTATAAAAAAACCAAGCCATTTATTTTAAAATATTATAACTTCTGAACGGTGTATCCGTTTTCAATTCCATCTGCACTGGTATGTTCTATATGATGAGACGAATAAAGCTGGGCCCTACTTGTATTTGTTTCGAAGAATTTTTTAGTAGCAATTTATTTGTATTAACTTATAACTTACAATTTATACATAAAAGTTACGAAACACAACTTATGTACAAAAGTTATTAAACACAAAGAAATGAATTAACTTATAACTTATGCTAAAAAACTTGGAAATACAAAAGTTATTAAACACAAATGAATGAATTAACTTATAACTTATGCCAAAACTTAGAAACACAAAAATTATAAAAACACAACTTATGTATAAAAGTTATGAAACACAACTTATGTTCATAAGTGTGTGTCAGAGATATGGGCTAGGGGTGCCCGCACGGCCCGTATATGTGACGATCGCCAAGCTATCGGCCCAGCAGCCATCAAGGAAGAGGCCCGCGAGGGCTGACGCCATCGACCAACATGGAGATCAAGGCAAACCAAGGCGGACGTATCTGGACGATAGCTAGGATCTTTCTGTTGCGCATATCGTGTAACAGACTAAGAAACAATCTGTTAGCCCGATCGCCCTATCTGTAACCCTACCTTTCCTGCTAATATAAAAGGGGTAGGGATTTCGGGCTCGGGATTCATCTTCCACCTATTCCATCTATACGTAGCTAGGAGCAACATCCCCTGTAATTGAGCATACGAATACAAGAGCAGCCATACCACTGGAGTAGGGATTAGCGCGCACCGTGCCCCGAACCAGTATAAATCTATGTGTCTTATGTGCTACCATCCAATTCCGTCTACGCGATCACGTTGCTGGATATTGCCGGAGCAAAACAATCCAACAATAAGTTATTCTACAATTTATTTACGTAAGTTATTCTATACAACTTGTCATCACTGCCCAACAAAGTTCTGATAAAAATTGGTGCTAATAAGTTCTACTCCGCAAAATGTTATACTGTAAAAGTCGTGATATATAAGTTATGGTAATAAGTTATGCATAAAGGTTTTGTGTATAACTTAGTAACTTTCCAAAAAAATTAGTTATGTATATAACTTGTTTGTATAACTTAGAGGGATGACTTAAACGTAAAGTTAGACGTATAAATTATATTCAAGAACTTAGATATACACATTAATATCATATCATATTAACATAAATACAAAATTGTGTATGGAATAATTTGTATAAAAAATAAAAAGGTACTCAATCCATCCCAAATTGTAAGACGTTTGACTTTTTTGACACCAAGTTTGACCACTCGTCTTATTTAAAAATTTGTGTAAAATATCACTTCTTTCGTCGTGGTTTGGTTTATTAATAAAAATTCTCCAAAAATGACTTAAATTTGACTATATTTGCATAAATTTTTTGAATAAGACAAGTGGTCAAACTTGGGGTCAAAAAAGTCAAACGTCTTACAATTTGGGATGGAGGGAGTAAAAGAAAAAATAGAAAATTAAGAGAGAGAGAGAGAGATGAGTCAGTAGTAATCTAAAGAGACATGCATGCAAGCTGGTTACAATTTCTTTTGTTTACGGCTAACAAATACCGCGGCGAATCCACGCCATGCAATGCTTCACGACGTATGGTGGAGACGTGTGGGCTCGTTCGGTCAAATCGGTCGGATTGTCCGCTGGACTAGAAACCATTGAACGAACGCGGGAATGTAATTCTTTCATCCTCATCTTCCCTGGTGGCTTTACTCAACGCAGAAGAGTAGCAAAGTGCAGTCCTAATGCTCCAACGATCAACCAACCCACCGCCTGCATCAGCCGCAGTCCTAATGCTCCAACGATCAACCAACCCACCGCCTGCATCAGCCGCTAGCATATATTTGAGAGAATTCTTCATTTGACACTGTGAAAATGAGTCGTTCCTTTGTTGATCCTGAAATTTTTTTCGTTCCCTATTTGACACTCACTTTAACTTTCATCCCTAATTTGACACTACCGTTAAATCCGTTAGCTAACGGTGTTAACCGGCTGTTAAAAAGACGTTTTTGCCCCTAGAAAAAAAACGACGAAGCAAATTTGAGAGAAAAAAAAACATGCGTCTTTTTTTGTAGCTGGGCGCATGCATCAGAGGTGGGCGCTGGTTTTTTTTCCTCTCAAATTTGCTTCGCCGTTTTTTTCTAGGGGCAAAAACGTCTTTTTAACGGCCGGTTAACACCGTTAGCTAACGGATTTAACGGTAATGTCAAATTAGGGATAAAAGTTGAAATGAGTGTCAAATAGGGAACGAAGAAAATTTCAAGGTCAAAAAATAAACGACTCATTTTTCCAGTGTCAAATAAGAAATTATCTCCGTATATTTTGCTTGTCCTGCACGTTCCTACTAGCATATAGCTCACCGGCCGCATCCACCTGCTGGCTGGGCTTAGCAGCAAGACACATGCAGGCTTGCAGACGGCTGCCGGAAGCCCTTTCAATTGCGAGCGATGGAAGGCCCTGCAGAGGACACAGCTCGCTTTGTGCGTGGCCCTAGTAGCTAGCAGCGCGGCATGACCATCATTTACCGGGCGGCGCACCATGCGAGGGCAGCGAGAGATGAACGGGGACGGGCCGGCCAGGATGCGTTGCGAGTACATGCAGGTGATGCAAGGCAGGCAGGTTAAGGAGATTAAGCCCAAGAGGCATTGCAGGTTACTCCCGCTTAAGCCCGCTACGCAAGCGCAGGTGTCCGCAGGTGCCCACGAAGGATTTTTTTCTGGCTGCATTTAGCAGGTTGCAGGCAAACCTGCACCCACTTGCATCGCTAGTACCATTGCGAAGAAGCAAGCATCTATGCATGCAGGAGCAAAATCAATCGAACAGCTTGAGGCCGAAGTCCAAATCTTCGCAGTGTCGCACGAAGGGCAGATGCGCCACCGGATCAAGGTCCTGTTCCGCCCGGCAGACGAGCGACGGCGGCGAGTGCAGGCATAGGCATGGCTCCACCGACGCAGCCCTCACGCAAGACACGGCGGCCCTCTTCGTAGTCCGGTCCGGCAGCATCAGCAGCCAAGGTCGCAGCCCAGCCAGCGAGTGCGCGACGTACCCGAACGTCGAGAGCCCCGTGGTCACCAACCTGTCGGAGTAGCTGAGCAGGAAGATCTCGGCCAGGGCGCGCTCGTTGTGCGCCCGCACCTCCGTGTGCTGGTCCTGGTCGTGGCTGGGCTGGTACACCGTGACAATCTGGCCGGTCGCCGTCGCGTTGGTGTAGTACACGCTGTGCAGCTTGTCGTAGTACTCCGGCTTCAGGGAGACCACCAGCACGGCCTTCACCTTGGCCGCCGTGCCGTTGGACGGCCGGGCACCCGGCTCGCTGGTGTCGGTCACTTGTGGCAGGAGGCCATGCTCCCGCGTGCACCGGGGGTGATCTGCTCGTACATGACCTCGAACGTGAGCGGAAGGAACGGCGCGAGGCGGACCTGTATGCCGAGACTCTCGTCGGCGCCGGCGAGGTACCCGTCGTAGAACCTCTCCACGATCCCCCACGCTCGGTTCTCTGGGTGGAGGAGATACCTGCCGAGGTGGTGGAACACGGACGCCTTCGCCGGGAACATCAGGTCCGGTTCGGCCCGGTACATGAGCATGAGGAACAGCGCCACGGCGAAGTAGCTGTCTGACCGGAGCACCATCCAGTTGAACCTGTCGAGCACGCGGTGGTCCTCCTCGCAGAACGTGTGATTCTGGAGCCGGAGCTGTATCTGCTCCAGGAGGAAGTAGACGTAGGGCGGCAGCGCCGCTATCGTCGTAGCGGACGACGTTGTTCTCAAGCATGTGCAGGTAGCTGTCACTTGAGCCGACCCAGAAGCCGTCCTTGTAGGGGAAGTACGGCGGCAGGATCCACGAGGTCCCCGGGAACGGCTCGCAGAAGAGCCCCTCCATCTCGGGGGGTTCTTAGACGAGGAGGACGCGGCCGGTGAGCAGCGCGTAGAGGAAGGTGGAGACGACGCTGAGCATCCGGTTGCCCATGCCCTGGATGGGGAACCACACCACGTACCTGCATTCGGCGCGGTCGCCGTTGCGGCCGGACGTGAGCTGCGCCATGGCCTCGCGGTAGTTCGCGGTGCCCGGTCCGCACCGCGATGGTTCGACTCGTACTGCCTCAGCTTCTGCACGAGGTAAGGGGACACTGGGAACGGCAACGGTGTCTTCCATCTCTTGGACGCCTCGTACCCGGCTGAGGCACGTCGCTGCGTCGAAGTCTTGCGAGAGAAGCCCGCCGAGGAGCTGGTCGTGGTGAGCGTTCTCTGGGGATGAGAACGCATTGCCGGAGCCTGCGATACAAACGAATGGAACAGTAAGAGCCGGGCCATTACCGTGCAACAGATGCGCTTGTAGGCAAGACCGCAAGAGAAAGGAGCAAGTACTCTGCACTTCCGCACGTGCGATGGAGGCGACAGCTCGGTCGCCGAAGAGGAAGAACAGGAGCAGCAGCGGCAACGAGAGCAAGAAGACAACAGTGACAGTCCCCAGATCGGTTGGCCGGCGTTTCTCTGCCTCCGGCAGATCTCGCTCTCCTTTGATCCCCGTGGCGGAATCCATGGCACGCCAAGGCTACACCCGCCGATGTTAGTCCTGGTTTCTTTCTGTAAGAGAGAAGAATGCTCGAGTTCATTCATTGACAGTGTGCAGGTACATATGCGTGATGCTGAATTACTGCTGGCCAAGCAATCCTAACGTTGCCTAGAAGCCAGGAACAGCTGAAGAACAGGTAGCTCACATGCAGCCGTTAATAGGAAGCACGCATGCAGCCGATCGACCAGCTCAACCCCTCACATAGTGAGGCAATGTGTGAGCTCTTCTCGGACCCACAGGAAGAGTGGCCGAGGCGGCGCGTCTGATGGCCGGTGATGGCTAGGTAGTATGATTAGCAAGTAATAGCTTATGATCACGTTATGCTAGGGAGGGCAGAGCGGACTATATAACACTTCCCCCTAGTGTGCCATGTTCTTGGCGCGTCATTGTAACATTCACTATTTCTCAATATTAATACAGAGATACACGAACCTTTTTGCGTGTTCGAGAAAAAAAAGATTGACCGTGTCTAACTAACTGAAAGCCTCAGTCACATGCAGCCGTTGATACCCCTCCTCTCCCCCCTCCTAGTTGAAGCATCGGGTGAGCGAATGCACAAACTGTTTCTGAATTCATTGAACAATGGCGTCGGTAGTCCCTTGGTCATGTCTGCAAATTGATGCCTTGTTGGTATTTGCAGCACCTTGAAATGACTGAGGGCCACCTTCTCTCGGCACAAAGTGGATGTCAAGTTCGACATGCTTCGTTCCTGATGATGTACCGGATTTTCAGAGAGATGCACCGCTGAAATATTATCACAGTAGATCACCGTGGCCTTGTTGATGATGACATGAAGCTCCCGAAGTTGGTTCTAGAGCAAGCAGCACTCCGCGGCGGCGTTGGCCACGGCTCTGAACTCGTCCTCGACGCTAGACCGGGATATCGTAGTTTGCCATTTCAATGACCATGACACAACACACAAGTGAGTCACCAAGCAAGACACAATAGCCCGATGTTGATCGCCGAGTGTCCAGACAGCCCGGCTAGTCAGCGTCGAAGTACACCTTTAGCTCAGTCGATGGAGCAGCCGAGATCTTGATGCCGTGGTTGATGGAGCCATGAGGATATTTGAGGATACGCTTGACAAGGTTCCAATGCACGTCATGCAGAGCATGCATATGGAGGCACGCCTGGTTCACAGCAATGGCGATGTCCGGAAGCGTGAGGGTGAGGTACTAAAGGACGCCAGTGATGCTGCGGCGTGCTCTCAGACACGGGCTCGCCATCGTTGGGTTTAGGGCTTGGCCTCAACCGGAGTAGACACCTGCTTGCAATTCGGTCGCCATGCTGGCGCGTTCCAAGATGTCTTCAGTCTACTGGGCCTGGTTGAGGAAGAATCCATTGGCATCGTGACAAAACTTGGACACCGAGGAAGAAGTTGAGGGCGCTGAGATCCTTGATCGCAAAGGCGTGGCCTAGCTTTTTCATGATGTGCCGCGAGAGAGACGATGTCGAGGCAGTAAGGATGATGTTGTCGACGTACACAAGCAGGTACGTCGCCTCCTTGCCGCGCTGGTAGACGAACAGGGAGCTGTCGGAGCCGGATGCGGTGAAACCCATGCTGCGAAGGTGGTTCCCAAGGCACCGAACCAAGCGTGTGGTGCCTTTTTGAGGCCGTAGACAGATTTGATGAGCAGGCATATGTGATCGTGACAGAAGGAGTCGTTGAATCCTGCAGGTTGATGATAGTACACACGTTCGGCAAGATCGCCGTGCAAGAACATGTTCTTGATTCACCAGCCATTGGCGAGTAGCAGCGAGATGCGGCACCGTGCGTATTGTCGCCGGTTTGACCACCAGCGAGATTGTTTGATGGAAGTCGACGCCTGATCATTGAGAGAACCCACGGACAACCCACTGCGCTTTAAGCCGTTCGAGTGTCCCATCGGAGTTGAGCTTGTTTTTGAACGGCCACTTCCGGGTGATGACATTGGCGTGAGCTGGGCAGGGCACAAGCGTCCATGTGCCATTGCTCTGCCGGGCGTCAGGTCGCGAAGAGCAGCACAGACGGATGTCGGCGATGGCGAGGGCGTTGATGTCGTTGTCATTTGCACATACTTGGGATTGGGCATGTGGATCCCTGCTTGTGCACGTGTGATCATCGAATGGTGTTGTGGCTGAGCTAGAGGCGCAGGCGGTGATGGCACAGGTGTAGGGTACGACGTCGCCTATTCATGTGTTAGTGCGGACAATGTCGTGGTGCCTGGGTCCGCGAGTGGTGACGTTGGCGGGACCATAGGCATCACGGCTTCTGGAGCTGCGGCCAACGGGATCTTATTAGGTGGATGAGAGTCCGTCGTTGGTGTGTCGATGACGGTCGCCCGCACGCCACGTCGAGGCTGCCATGATCCGGATGGGATCGGGAGCACGTCAGGCATGCACGGTGGGCACGGAGGAGCAGCAGGCGTCGTCGTCGTGTCATCCTGCACAAACGGAAAGCACGTCTCGTCAAAATAGACGTGACGAGAGATTAGCACATGTGTGGTGAGCAGGTTGTAGCACTTATAGCCCCGCTGATCAGGAGCGTCTCCAGCTCCCCTATCCCAAATCCAATGTTTATTGGGGGAGTTGGAACAAAAAAAAAACTTGCTCCAGCAAGGCAGCAACTCCCTCATCATATCCCCATTAATTGATGATCACAAACAAAAAAAAACACCCCGACTCCCCCAAAATAGAGGGGGAGATGCAGCTCCCCCCAAAACTCACCCGCATCCCAACTGCTTCCCACGCCCATGCGGATCTTCCATCTCCATCGAGCTCGCATGGATGGATCCTCCTCCCCACTCCACCGTTGCATCCAACGATTTCTCTGTCGAGTCGAGGTCTGGGGCCCATGGACAAGCAGCTGGACGCGGCCGGGTCTGCATCTAGGGCTGGGTGCGGGTGCGGTAGTGGCTGGGGCCGCGGTCGGACGCGGTGGTGGGCATGGCGATGGCCGGGGGCGGGGCCGCGGCAGGGCGCCGCGGTGGCCGAGTCTGGATGTGGCGTTGGCCAGGGCGGGGCACGGTAGGGCCAGGGCCGCGGCTCAACGTGGCGGTTGCTGGGGCGGGTGCCGTGGTGGCCGTGGTGGGTGTTGCAGCTCGCCTCAGGTAGGAAGAAGTGCAGCGTGAGGAACACGAGCCGGAAGAAGATGCGTAGGGAGAAAATAAAAGGAAAAAATAATAAATTGTAATATGACACGTGGATCCTATGTAATGAGGAAGATTATTGATAATCTGTTGGATTATCTTTTCTAATAGTCTGGAAAAATAGTATCGGTGATCACCGATACCTATTAGTGAGCTGTCGGAGATGCTCAGTGCTACTACCGGTAATGATGTCGCTATCATTCCGTCAGTCTATCTGCGCGACACATTTCCTTTGTTTTGTTTATTCAATTTCCTTTTATTAGTTCCTTCCAAATAAAAGAGGCCATACCCATGCACCCATGCCTAATCTCTCGGAAGTCTTATTTTAGAATGGGATCTCGGGACCCCGAGAAGAACGCATCGCCCGCCAGGCCCGATAACAATGGCCTTGGAGGGCGTGGTCGGCATTGGCATAACCAAGCGGCCGTCGCAGCAATGCCTGGACGCCGTGGAGAACGCGGCCCGACGTGCCGAACCAGAAGAGGGTACAGTGGAGCAGAACACAACGCCATGGATCGCGAGGAAGAAGGTCACAGCGCTCGCCATCAGCCTCGTCGCATTGCCCGTCCTGATGACCACGGTTAGCCGGCGGGACTCGCCGTGGACGCCCGCGTCCTTTTGGCCGTTGGCGACATTCGCGCGGCAAGGTAACGTAGTAATCCACGCACTCTTCATCTATCTCATCCTCTGCCGCCGTGTGACGTGGTGTTGGATCTTCTGAATCGCGTGCTTTGGAACGGTTCCGATCGAAAGGAGATCTAATCTACTTTCCCGCGTGCGGAATTCTATGCAGAGAAGCTCCTCGGCGGCCTGCTCGTGCCGGGGTTCGACGAGCGGTCGTGCCTCAGCCGGTACCGGTCCGCGTTCTACCACAAGAACCTGACGAGGTCGCCGTCCGCGCACCTCATCGAGCGGCTGCGCCAGCACGAGGCGCTGCAGCGTCGGTGCGGACCGGGCACCGAGGCGTACAGGGCCGCGGCCGCGCGGCTCAGGTCCTGGCGCCGCAACGGCACCAAGGACGGCGTCTGCAGGTACCTCGTGTTGGTGCCGTACAGGGGCCTCGGGAACAGGATCTTGGCCGTGGCATCGGCGTTCCTCTATGCCGTGCTCACCGACCGCGTCCTGCTCCTCAACGGGAACACGTCGATGGGCGAAATCTTCTGCGAGCCGTTCCCGGGGACCTCGTGGCTGCTGCCGCAGCACTTCCCGATCAGTAACCTCCAGAACCTAACGGGCGACGTGCGGGAGAGCTACAGGAACCTGGTGCAGAACGATAGCGCGGCGTCGCTCGTGTCCAGGCTCCCGTACGTGTTCGTGGACCTCGATCATTCCTGCACGTACCACGACAAGCTCTTCTTCTGCGACGACGAGCGGCAGTTCCTCCGCCGTGCGCCGTGGCTGGTGATGAGGACGGACGGCTACTTCGTGCCGGCGCTGTTCCTGAACCCGGCGCACCAGGACGAGCTCGACAGGATGTTCCCTCGGAAAGACTCAGTGTTCTACCTGCTGGCGCACTACCTGTTCCACCCAACGAACAAAGTGTGGGGACTGATCACGAGGTTCCACAGCTCGTACCTGAGGGACTCAGACGAAAGGTTGGGCATCCAGGTCAGGGTGTTCGACGGAGACACTCCGTTCCAGCACATCTTGGATCAGATCCTCGCTTGCACGTCGCAAGAACATCTGCTCCCCGACGTGGTGACGCAGGAACCGCCCCGTCTGTCGATGGCTGGTGCGCGGTCGAAGGTTGTCCTCATGACCGGCCTGAGCTCGTGGTACTACGAGAACATCCGGTGGAAGTACTGGCAGTCGGCGACGGCCACCGGCGAGGTCGTGAGCGTGTACCAGCCGAGCCACGAGGAGCACCAGCTCTCCGGCTACACGACGCATGACATGAAGGCGGTGGCGGAGATGTACCTCCTGGGCATGACCGATAAGATCGTCACCAGCGGCTGGTCGACGTTCGGCTACGTCGGCCACGGCCTCGGCGGGCTCACGCCGTGGATCATGTTCAGGCCCGAGAACCACACCACGCCATACCCGCCGTGCCGGCGCGCCAAGTCAATGGAGCCGTGCATGCACGGGCCGCCGTTCTACGACTGCAGGGCGAAGCACGGCGCTGATACGGGAAAGCTGGTGCCGCATGTCCAACACTGTGAAGACATGAGCTGGGGGCTCAAACTTGTTCACCCCGAGTGAAACAGCAATAATGAAAAGGATATTTTTTATGACTCGAATTCGTGTGTTATTTCTGCGGATTTGTTCATTTCCACTAATGTACAGATAGATAGTACCATTGCACAGAAGCAAGCATCTATGCAGGAGCAAAATCAATCGAACAGTTTGAGGCCGCCGCCGGAGTCAACATCTTCGCAGTGTCGCATGAAGGGCAGATGCACCACCAGGTCAAGATCCTGTTCCGCCCGGCAGACGAGCGACGGCGGCGAGTGCAGGCATGGCTCCACCGACGCTGGCCTAACGCAAGCCACGGCGGCCCTCTGCGTAGTCCGGTCCGGCAGCATCAGCAGCCAGGGTCGCAGCCCAGCCAGCGAGTGCGCGACGTAGCCGAACGTCGAGAACCCCGTGGTCACCAACCTGTCGCAGTAGCTGAGCAGGAAGATCTCGGCCAGGGCGCGCTCGTTGTGCGCCCGCGCCTCTGAGTGCTGGTCCTGGTCGTGGCTCGGCTGGTACACCGTGACAACCTCGCCGGTCGCCGTCGCGTTGGTGTAGTACACGCTGTGCAGCTTGTCGTAGTACTCTGGCTTCAGGGAGACCACCAGCACGGCCTTCACCTTGGCCGCCGTGCCGTTGGACGGCCGGGCACCCGGCTCGCTGGTGTCGGTCACTTGTGGCAGGAGGCCATGCTCCCGCGTGCACCGGGTGATCTGCTCGTACATGACCTCGAACGTGAGTGGAAGGAACGGCGCGAGGCGGACCTGTATGCCGAGACGCTCGTCGGCGCCGGCGAGGTACCCGTCGTAGAACCTCTCAACGATCCCCCACGCTCGGTTCCCCGGGCGGAGGAGATACCTGCCGAGGTGGTGGAACACGGACGCCTTCGCCGGGAACATCAGGTCCAGTTGGGCCCGGTACATGGGCATGAGGAACAGCGCCACGGCGAAGTAGCTGTCTGACCGGAGCACCATCCAGTTGAACCTGTCGAGCACGCGGTGGTCCTCCTCGCAGAACGTGTGATTCTGGAGCCGGAGCTGTATCTGCTCCAGGTGGAAGTAGACGTAGGGCGGCAGCGCGTTGGCGTCGCCGCCGCCGCCGCTATCGTCGTAGCGGACGACGTTGTTCTCAAGCATGTGCAGGTAGCTGTCACTTGAGCCGACCCAGAAGCCGTCCTTGTAGGGGAAGTCCGGCGGCAGGATCCACGAGGTCCCCGGGAACGGCTCGCAGAAGAGCCCCTCCATCTCGGGGGTTCGTAGACGAGGAGGACGCGGCCGGTGAGCAGCGCGTAGAGGAAGGTGGAGACGACGCTGAGCATCCGGTTGCCCATGCCCTGGATGGGGAACCACACCACGTACCTGCATTCGGCGCGGTCGCCGTTGCGGCCGGACGTGAGCTGCGCCATGGCCTCGCGGTAGTTCGCGGTGCCCAGTCCGCACCGCCGATGGTTCGACTCGTACTGCCTCAGCTTCTGGACGAGGTAAGGGGAGACCAGGAACGGCGACGGCGTCTTCCATCGCTTGGACGCCTCGTACCGGCTGAGGCACGTCGCTGCGTCGAAGTCTGGCGAGAGAAGCCCGCCGAGGAGCAGGTCGTGGTGAGCGTTCACTGGGGACGAGGACGTATTGCCGGAGCCTGCGATGCAAACGAATGGAAGAGTGAGAGCCGGGCCATTACCATGCATCAGATGCGTGTAGGCAAGGGATCGAAAGGAGCAAGTACTCTGCACCCCCGCGCGCTGCCAAACCAGGGAGTTGCCGGCGATGGAGACGACAGCTCGGTCGCCGAAGAGGAAGAGCAGGATCAGCAGCGGCAACGAGAGCAAGAAGATGGCAGTGACAGTGCCCAGACCGGTTGGCCGGCGTTTCTCTGCCTCCGGCAGATCTCGCTCTCCTTTGGTCGCCCTGGCGGAATCCATATGGCACGCCAACGCGCTACCCCCGCCGATGTCCAGTGCAGGTTTCTTTTGTTCTGGACACCGGCCAGTTATCGAGAGGGCAACCATGGTAACGAATCAATTTCTTAGCTGTGAGATCCTTGCATATAGAAATGGTATCATGGGTGCGACTGCCCTATCTATGGTCCCACCTCTTCCTCACCCTTCGGCCTTCGAGGCTTCGAACCTTCCCCTCATGTTTCAATGGCTGCTGCCCGTCGGCCCTTGGCCATCCCACAACCAAGGCATGCGGCTTGCCAAGCCGGCCCCGCTTGTCCGTGCCGCCTTCTGACCCTTGCACATGGCCATGGAGGTGCACCTTTCGTGCACTACCCCTACGTGTGGCCATGGAAGAGTGAGATGAACTAGGTGAGGGAGGGGAGAAGAAAAAATAATTGGCCTATGGCATATGGGCACCACATGTCATGATGGATATAAGGGGTGGTTTTTGAGTAATCTGTTGTAGCTCTGCACTCCATCTCCTTAAATTGCTTTTACGAGATCTTCTACAACTGATTATAAGAGAGAGGAGAGAGGATATCTGATGAAGTTGCTCTGGCCTGATTATAAGGGAGAGGAGATGGGACATTTGATTAAGTTGCTCTGGCCTGAACCATTAGTACCCCGTAAGAATATGAAGCTCCTAATTAACAAGTCCAGCAAAGAACTCCAATTTGGGGTAGAAAAAAATGACCAAACTTGGTACCCATAAACCAGGAGCTGGATAAGTAGATTGCTTCTTAGAAATTTACCAAAGCTGACACTCGGGCAATACCTCACAGCTCACTGAAGAATTGAAGCATGGAATGTATTCAGCTTAAAACAAAGTCCATGAAGGAAAGTACTCCAATTTGAACTCAGGTGCTATACTTTACAAATCAGTAGTGGCCCAAGAATTTCTGTATGTTGACTTCCTGTTGTCTCTTGACTCTTCTAAGATCGAAAAGCGTGTGAAAACAACGTAGAGTACTAGTACCAAGAAGTAATGAAATCTGTGCCGTTCGTATCCCCGTTTATCTATCCTTCTGTACCACAAACATAAATTGCACTCAATGCAGAACGAGGAACCAACCCAGCAAATGGTTTGAGTCCACTTTTGGATCCAGATCCAGATGGTGTAAGTACCAAATGGCAGCCAAAAGCAGTGAAATACAGATTGTGGGGAATGCAAATATATCACGCCTACAAATGTCAACACAACAGCTTAAGCACTCAACTAAAAACTATCCCCAGAAAGGTATACGTCTTACATAGAAAAGGTCTACGGAGTAGCAACAGTTTAGGGCCTATGGATGTCGTACTACGGCTTACATAGAAGTAAAAGGTCTGGAATGGAGTTTCTAAAAAACAAAAAGACTATAGTTTTAGCAAAAGCATGGTTTTCAAAACTACAAGGTTTGCGACAGTCCACCTTAGCATTCCAAAACCAAAATATTTCAAAAATCATGGTATTCTTCCAACCGCTCCAAAAATACTCTGCATCCAAATAGGGCCTTTAAGCATTCATCTCTTTTTCTATTGTATAATCCTGAGAATACTTTCATGAAACTAATATTGCTAGGTGATTTACCAATGTCGCATCTTACTCTTCGTCAAATCTGCTTGTGTAACCTGTGTTAGTTTTTGAGAATAGATGCAACAACAAAATTGTTTCACAGCCATATTCTATCACTTAGTTAATTTTCCCTCACCAAGCTAACCATGAAATTTGCTATCCAAAGAAAAAGCTCAGGCAGCAATTTGATATTTTGTTTGGCTGACCATCATAGCATTTAAAGTGAATGGTCTGTTCAAACTCTGGGCTATCACCGTGGAACAAAATCACGCTGATACCTCATTGATATGTTGGTTGAGGCTCTTCCCAGGGGGTATAAAGATTAAATCATCCCAGCCAGAATTCCTCTCATTTATCTGCAGAATCAAATAGCAGAATGGTAAGAACTGCTGAACTAGCACAACTGTACAGGCAATCCATTGTGCCATTTTATCTCCATCATACCTCCATTTTCTTCAGGATATCCTCCAAACTCCCAACCTGGAAGAAAAACACAGAAGAGTTAAAGTAGCTGTCATGAGAGATTTATGCGAGCTATAACCGAACATAACTACATACCATAATTTGCTTAGACAAGGCTGACCCTCTTGAACCTTTGGAAGCCCTTGTAAGTTCTCTTTCTATGTCTTCCTGAACCGCGAGGTAAGTGTTAAAAACCTAATCAAGGTCTAAGGAACACTACATGATATAAAATGCAGCCTGGCAAACCTTTTGAAAATATATTGGACAGTAGCGCTTCTTCTGCTTCTTCACAACCAGAAGATCTGACTGCACATGCAATTGGAACATTTTCATTGCAGCAATTAATGGTTCATAGTAGCAGTGAGGATCATGAACCCCCAAGACAGAAGTCTAGTGGCACAAATATCAGAATAGTATAAAACTAAAAGGAACTGCACAACAATCTCAAAAGTAAGTGTGGAGTGGAGCATCTCCCGGAAAAAGATAGACACCATTCTGATGAAGCTGAAGCGACAATGTATGAAACTCTAAACATCTTGGCAGTTATTTTACTACACTAATGCAACAATTGCAGTTTGGTTGATTGTGTTTTGTATGGATTTTCACTTTCTGTAAGTAGTTTTTTGCTGTGTGGTCACACTTTCATGCCGGAAACCACATACAGTTTATCTTAATGAAGAAAAAGGGTTAGGCTGTCCCTTTGCATAAAAGCTCCAGATGAGAATAAATATAATAAACTCGAAAAGGGAAAAAAAAAAGAAAGGAATTTGATTGGAGACAGCACAGCATGACTAGTTGACTAAGAACAGGATGGGCGTACAATTAATTTTCACAATAAATAGGGATGGGCAAGTAAATCATAGAAACAACTAAACAGCTTCAATTTCTTTCACACCTTTTCTTCTAGAGCCTACCCATAATCCATTAGATTTAGCAATAGCTAAATGCACTAGCAATTATTAGAGACAAGGCATCAATCAACAATTTGCTAGTGGTCTTTAATTTTCCCAAGAGAGGAATTACTGTTATTTGCTTAATCAAGAAAATGTTTACTAATTGCTAGGATGTGTTTCTGGTTACAAAGGTATGGAGGTAGTGCCCCAAGGTTACAATTAATTTGTGGTACAAATGAAGGGTTTGCTTGTGGGCATCCTAGTGAATTAATACATGCGAGTATTTGACTGAGTTTAGCATGTATAACAAGAACTACTCATGGCATCAAATTGACACGACTCACAAGAAACTAAAATCAAATAGGTCAATATGGAAAGTAAAATATCTTATTAGAGTGACCAAATCAGGGATATTACCTGAAAAACAGGAACACCATCAAAAGCAGTTAAGCCCGATTTCATCTGGAAAATAAAAAGGGTAATACATGTCACAAGGATGAAGTAACCTTTTTTCTTCGTACTTGAAGAATAATCAAGGGGGCTGTAATGATCCACGTATCCGATATGCAAGACTTAACTTGTTCTAAAGCCAAAAGTATGTGTTACCTAAATTTAACTTAGATTTACAAATGTGTGATATGGAGAATCATTGCAGGTCATTAGGTCAACAAGTCCATCCAGGAAAAAAAAACAGAAAGATTCGACACCTAGCACTATGGTAAGAACTAACACTTCACATGTTCTATGTCCATATGTCTAGGATTCATGCATTATGTTGAAGACATACAATAAGCCACAAATGTACAGACCTTGTACCAATTTATTGGGATTGCTCAAAGTAACAAAATCTTTTCAAACAAATGTTTCCTTTGAAATGTTGGAACATGTTAAACCAATAGCTATGGTTATGCATTTTGCCAAGTCATACCAATTATGTAGAGTTTCTGCATGTGCTATGTGAATATTGCTAGTACACTAGTAATTACATGATTGGCCAGAGTCAAACCACTGTAGGCCAATGATAGCCAAAGAAGTCAATATTACGGCATTTAATACAAGATATGGAGAAATGGACATACATGTTCCATCCCTATATTGTAATAAAATAACAAGAAAGTAAAGTAATAATTAAAACAACCATCATTGTATTGCTGCTTTCAAGAGCAATTGCAATCTGCCTGATGGATCAAAATTCTACTCACATCGTAGGGAGAGGGGAGGGAGTAGATTATAAATAGGTCCAGGTATATATAAGATAATAGAGCAATGAGTGAAAAATCTATTAAAGAGCAGACCTCCAGTGCATTCTTTATTTGAAGAGGGTCGGGTAAGAACCGAAATGCAATACCTTCAGCCTTCAACATATAGACCTGCGAGTTATGGTATATGTTTGCATTATGAAACATATAATAGAGTATCGGTCAGGTTCAAGGTAAACATAATGTCTATGCATGCACTAGAATGACCAAAGCTGCAGTGGCGTCAACCAAGCTTAGTGCATCTTAAAAGCATGAACAAGATAAGCTAATAAGGAATTGGCTACCTAAATCAGGAGAGCGTCCACAATTCCTCGTCGATAAGCCAGATAGAACTAGTCAAATTTAGTTAGAAGTCTTACCCCTCACCTTGCTAATAAGTTAAGATGCCTCCAATTACTGGAATGGCTTTCATACTTCAAACAAAACACAAAAACCTTACAAAACCCACAATTCAATGAAAAATTGGCCATCAAATCTAACATGATCAACCACAAGACATACAGAATGAAACCAACCTGATCAAGTGTAATAGGCACCACTTTTGCCCCCTTCCCTAGCATCGGTTGCCGCGTCCTCACCTAAACCACACAAACCCCCGAACAACCAGTGAATAATCCAAAACCAAAGCCCAAAGCAAACAGGTGGCTAGAGAGCAGGGAATACATGCGACAGGAGGGCGTCGGCGTCCTCCGAACGGAAGCAGAGGAGGCCGAGGGAGCGGAGGCCGGTGGCAGGGTCGGAGACGAGCACAAACTCGTTGCTGGAGTTGCAGACAGTGAAGACGGGAGTGCCGGTGAGAGCGCGCGCGACCTCATCGGGCGCGAGCGCGAGAGATAGGGAGGTGCCCTGGGGGCCCGGCGTGCGCGCGGCCGCGGCGGCGAGGGCGGGGCGCGGGGCGTTCAGGTGGGAAGCCAAGCGGGAGAGGTGGTGCTGGAGGAAGGACGCGGCGGCAGCGAGCGGGTTTGGAGGCGGCGACGCAGCGGAGGGAATGGGGGTCGGGTCGGACATGGGCGCAGCGGCGAGGGGGAGGGAGGAGCGCGTGGAGATGGAGTCGGGCGGCGCCATCGCGTGGGTTGCGGCGGTGAGAGGCGCTTCGGTGGTGGCGTGGCGTGCGAGGCGTCTTGTTGGTCGGCGTCGGCGGCGTCGACGAGAAGCGCCGGGCGCGGGGCCGATTCGGTTGAGCTTGAGCCGCCCCTCTGGTGCGGGAGTTGCGGGTTACGGCCCGGTTAGATGGGTTGGGATTGGGAGGTTCCTGGTTCGGTTTGGTCCACCATCAACCGGTTCTTCATCCTGACCTTCTATAATTTAATTTTTTATTTCAGAAAAGTATATACTTAATTTGTGGTTGTTTTACTACCCTCACCTATAAAACCAGACCAGATATTTTACTCAAAAACTACTGAAAACCACTAAGTAACCTCTTGAGGTAATTTTGAAGAAGATTTTGCTGACATGCAGTAGAAAAGATCTAATAACCCTCTAATATATCAAGAGTTGACAAAATTCATCAACTATAAAATCCGATAGTGTAACCCTTACAACATTAAATAATGTTCAAATGAACCCTAGATGTTTTTTAGGGCAACTCATCAACTATAAAATCCGATACTATAACCCTTAAAACATTTAATAATGTTCAAATGAACTCCGGATGTTTTTGTTGGGGCATTTTGACACCGTATCTCATCACACTGGCTTGAGTAATCATGCTTGCATGTAGATTCATTTGTTATCTCCCTCTCCCTAGTACAACCCAAGCTCCTGTCTCCTGCTCTACCTCCTGGCACTCTTTAATAGCATTGAGCTCATGTACTCTTTAATAGCATTGACCTCCAGCAACTAAAGTTTATGGGGTATCACATCGGGTGTTTGAATACTAATAATAAAACTAATTACAGAAGTCGTGACTAATTCACGAGACGAATTTATGAAGCCTAATTAATCCATCATTAGCACATGTTTCTGGTAGCACTACGTTGTCAAATCATGAACTAATTAGTCTTAATAGATTCGTCTCGCAAATTAGTCTCAATCTATACAATTAGTTTGTAATTACTCTATATTTAATACTCCAAATTAGTGTCCAATATTCGATGTGTTAAGGACCAAACTTTAGGAGGTGGGAACCACACATCCCCAATAGCATTGGCTCGTCATCTGCTCCCCCCCCCTCCCCCCCTCCCCCACCCACTCCACCACATCATCCATCTCCCTCACTTTCTCATCCTATGACTACCTAAAACTGATTTGAGTGAAATTGTTGGTACATATTCCTTTGTTGAGAACACGACAGCGTGCCCGGGGCTCGGACGGTCGCTTCGTGCGCACCAGCATCGGCACCGGCGTAGGAGGCACCGGAGTTGGTCGAGGGTAAACACCACCGACTCCTTCGGCCACGCTACAACCGACCGCGGCGAGTTGGCCAACTCCACTGACTCCTCCTGTGACACTGCAGCCGACCACGATGAGCTGCCCAACGCGACGAGCCTTCTTGGGCTCGACCCGTTGACGCTAACTATGGGACCTCATGACTTGCTCCCTGGTCGCGACGCCATGGACGACCTGATGATGTTGGAGGAGTTTGCAGCTTCTCTCGACGCTAGTTGGATTGCCACGTGCCCTACACTAGACCACCTGGCTTCAACTCCGACGGCCACCCAGTTGGAGGTTGGGGCCAAGGCGATGGTCACCTGCGTCTGCAACTGTGGGCAGCGGACGTTGTCCCAGCTTGCCGACTCAGAGTTGCGGACGCCACCTTCGCGTCCTTCTCAGTGGGCTGTGGAACTACCACCAGCCTTGTCTCAGCAAGGGTAGGATAGGTCTCCTGAGGCCGTGTCACCTCATCGTAGTGCCAGTCTTGTGCCCAAACCCCTTTAGGCATCCGTTGCCCTAGGTGGGCCTTGCTCTGGGCAAGGAGTCCTAGATGTTCAGCAGGATTCAGTCGCTGACATTACACGCAAGATCCAGGACAGAGTCTGCTTGCCTCTCGAAACTCCTGTGCTTCAGGGAAATCCTATCCTTAGGGTTGCTCGGGTCCAACCCAGTGTCAGTTCGCCTAGGAGAAGTGTTCGCTTAGCTGCTAAGCCTCGGGTGCCCAACCCGACTCTCCAGGCGCGGAAGGTTCTTATGGTCAAGTTGGGCCTCGCAAATGCTTCTAAGCCCGTCGACGCCGTAGAGACACAGAAATTGGAGTCCATTTTTGTTGAGCAGCTTTCGGAGTCCAAGCATGAGGCTTTCAATGTCCTTTTCTGGGACGACACGTTCCTGGATGACTTCGTCCCGAAGGTTGATGGGCTCCTCTCGTAGACGTGCTAAGGAGTTAACGCAACCATCAGTTGTCGCAAATATGCCTCTCCCTATCGTCACATAACCTGTTCTGGTCCTTGATGCGCGGGCTGAGCGGCCTTGCGCGTTGTTGTCTGGTTAGGGAGAGTCGAGGCCGTCTTTAGGCTGGCTGTTTTTTCGCCCTCAGTTCTTGTTTTAGTTGTTTTTCTTTCTTTCTTGTGTTTTTTTTCTCCTTCTCTCTGGTAAGCTTGGCGCTTACCAATGAGTGGATAGCTTATAATGTACTTCTAATTCCTCTTAATGAAATACGTGCCTATAAGTGGCACGGTCGCGAAAAAATAACATAGTTTGATTAAGGAAAAGTCATAAACATATATTTTTCTCTATAACATGTAGCTATTTGCTTAAGAAACAACACCGACTAGGTGATACTTTAAACACATAATCTATTGATGTAATTTTTATGTCTTATTCTTATATCTGGCAGGATTATGCCAGGCAAATATAATGATAGAGAAGAGGATTCTTATATATAATTTGAATAATTGTTGATCAAATTTTATAAAATTTGATATTCTTATTCTTATACGAAATATGCTTATGTCATTTTGGGGCAGGACGGATGGCGTACCTCTCTGGTATTGACTGCACACAGGTGCGAAGCTTGTTTGAGACCCAAGGTGACTGTGGCCCCTTGTTTTTCTATTATCTTAAACTTGTCACATTTTTTTTAGACAAGGGAACAAAGTTAAAAAAAAACACTGGAATAGTTATGTTTATTTTAATCTGGGTCCCTCGGTGCCTTTCTCCATTCTGCCAGTGATTGTATCTATGCCAACAAACCGTGCGTCTATTTGTTATGCATTATCTGATCTTTCTTTGAACTAGCGCTCCTAGTGTTAATTTTTCACCACTTTTACTACCAACACTGCACGAAGGGCACGGCATGCCACATGCATTTCTTAACCATGGCTCCGTTCGCTTGGAGGAATCTGGATAAATTTAAAAAAATTTGAAGAAATTTGTAAGAGAAAAACACGGTTCCGGATGAAAAAAGAAGCGGATCAAGCCAGGTTTAAGGGCACGCGAACCGGGCCCATTTCTCAACAAATTAATTAAGTTTGTGGAGCTGAACCAGAAATACGAGTACGCGGACTCTTTTCAAACCATCCACAAAGTTACCACAAGACATTGAATAAAAAGCCAAATGAAGCACCCGTACAACGTTCAAGTAACGACACACATCCACCATGATGAACAAAAAAAATTAACAACACATCCAATCCATCCTGACAATACAACAGAGACTCACATCGATCGATGGCACGATGCTTATTGGGCGATGCCCGATGGATCATCAGATGATCAGTAGTAGCCGAGCTGGGTGATCTTGACGTGGAGGTGCCTCTGCGCGAAGGCGAAGAGGCGGGCCACCTCGTCTTCCCCCTGCACGCCGCCGTCGCGGTTGGCGTCGGCGGCGCGCACGCCGTCCCGCGCCTTCCACCACGCGAACCACACGTTGAGGCTCCGCAGCGCGTGCTGCAGCTCCTCCCTGCTGATCCGCCCGTCGCGGTCCGCGTCGAACTGCGCCAGCCACGCCCGGAACTCCTCCACCGTCAGCTCCCCCTGCGGCAGCGCGCGGTACCGCATGAACGCCATCCGATCCCCTCACAACGTACGCCGATGCCCGGCCGGCGACCCCTGCTTAGCTTGCTTGCCTCTGTGTGCTTGCTATTCCGCTTGATGGTGAGTGTGCTAGCTTGCGAGTGAGCTGCTCTGAGCCTACTGCTGATCGAGTTGCGATTGCAAGTAGCGACGCACAGAGCTCCATCCTATATATACCGGTCCAAGAGGAGGGCCACGGCGCTGAGGTTTTTACGACTCGGTTACTGCACGTTTTGCACGCGCAGATCAGAGTTTGGCTGGCCGTGTTGAACATGGGGTAGATTGTTTTTTTTTTCAGATAAAGAAAGGGTTAGATTGTTACGTAGATGAAATGGAAATAATGTACGCGTAGTGGCTAGATTGCTTTTAGATGCTGCTAAGTTATTGCCAGTTGCCACTGAGCTTTTCTTTTCGAAGGGGAATAATCGGTGGTGCAGCTTAAAAGCCGCATTAGGCGGTCTGCATTCTTTTCAAAGGGGAATAATCTAGACTAGAAATGGAAGGAGCAAGGAGGTCGAATGATCAAATTTCGAGAATCCACATCCACTTGAGTACTTGATAAAAATTGTGGCAAGTACACTGCTTTGAGGATGTTTGGTTCATATATCTAGCTTCGCAAAGTAGGAGTATCTTTTGGCGAGTTATAATCACAATTTTGTGGTTGGGTGAAATCATAGTAGCCCGAGGGGGAAAAATTGCGTGAGGACCATCACATGGAAACACCATGACGTATGGCTGATGTGTGGCCTATCAGCTGCACAGTTCGCACGACGTCCTCGTAGGGATGATCCGCACCGATTTTTTTTCCCAGCTCGTAGCCATGAGCTGATGATGTGCTCGGCTCTCGGGAATCCTCAGACCTCAGTTGTCAGTTATTCTGGGAGCTGAATTCTCTCAGCAACCGATACCACCTGTTGGTCTTTAGCCCAATATATATTTGAACAAGGACGTGTCAAACTAAGAAACCGACCAAACGGCACCTATATATCCAGCGAGAGTAAGAATGTGATCCACTTTTATCAGAAATTACTTACTTTTTTAGCCTCGTATAGCATAGGTATTCGGACAGGATAAACAAAATAGTAAAACAAAGTTACTTACTTTTTTAGTCTTGTATAGCGTAGGTATTTGGCTGATGGTTTTTGCGACTGATAAGCCGGCTAAAACTGATTTGTTGTGAGAAAAAATACTGTAACATGACTGATAAGTTCAAGTGAACATGGGTTATACATGACTATTAACACTTATCATGAGAAGATGATATTATTTTATATATCCTTTTGGATATAATATATTTTAAAAGCTGTAGGTCACTCACGGATGGGTCAGCTGATTGAGATCTTTTTTTTTTCTTCCAATAGTGCAATCTTCCCGATGCCTGTTTGGCAATCAGAATTCCCCTGAGCAATATAACAATGAAGCATGCTTATCATGATCAAGACTTTGTTCTCCGGTCGATGTCTGTCTGCTTTTCCTTTACGTCCTTCTACAAAATATTCACTGGTAGCACAAAATTTTACAGTGCTTCGAGGCAAAAGGCTGAGTTATCTAAGAAAAGTTCCGTGATTGATCATACGAAAGCCTTGAAACTCCAAGATTCTTTGTTCCAAAGACGCGGCAAAATCGTTGATTAATGAGAATCAGATTCTTTTGGTAGGCTTTCACAGGCACTCGTGGACCAGAGCAATCTGATCCGCAAGTGGTGAGTTGTTTATCTCGTAGAGCTCATCAACAGGTTCTCTAGCTGGGTAGTAGAGCTCGTCAACAGGTTCTCTAGCTGGGCAGATCGAATACGAACCTGTTGTGTTAAACACATGGAGTAAAATGTACCACAGTAAAAGTACATTGCTGTTTCCATCTGTTACCGCAGAAATATGAACGCGTCATGAGTTTCCTTGTGACGTCGTCTGAAAACGCCTGAGAGTTCAGAAAGAGCATCATGTCCATGTGCTGCCAACGTTGGCCAGAACACAACAGGTTCGTATTCGATCTGCTTTGGAACATGGAGGAAATTTAAAAAGTTACTTTCTTTTTTTCGTATTTCTTCAAAAGAAAATCCAACAAGAAGCTCGTAGTCACGAAGTCTAAAAGTTGAGATCCAGCTTGCCCGTTCCCGCAGGGCCTGTTCAGGACGAATGCTCCTGGAGAATTCTCACTTTCTAAAGTAGATATGATTCTCGATATCATGCATCTTATGGCTTCATAACATTAATAATACAGAACAGTCTTATCAAAAAGATATCGAGGAAAAAGGCGAGGTCTTGTGGACTACATAGTTACAGACCGCAGGCTACAGAGATGAATTGGTTGCTGTGTCTGCGATCTGTAACTCTGCAAATCATTTCTAGAACTTTTCTTGTGGTTCCCCCACTAGACCTAAACATGACACTTGCATATGCTAATTTGGATTCTTAAAATTTTGCTCTATCATTATTTCATAGCAATGCAACAAAACTGCTCCCTCAATCCTCAAATTTCATTCCATGGGAACACGGTGAATGTGAGTGTGAAGGAATACTCCATTGCGGCTATCCTTTTTGGAAGGAAAAGAAAAACCGAGAACCCTAGCATCTACTTAAGAATAATTTGGGTTCAGAGTTCAAGGCAGGAAATGTGATCAATGGCCCATCTACATTAATTGAGTAAGCATTTAGTCCCATAGCAAATCCTATAATTCTGGAAAAGAGAATACGAATGAGCTTCACAAGCTATTCAAACACTCGTGATTTGTACAGTTAAAAAGGCGAAGACAAATATATATAGACGTCTCCTTTGACATCTTTGTATTTGTTTCAGTAAGTTAGAACTATGAGGCGAAACAGAAATACAGTCAGTGACAGCACTAAACACAAAACGATACTCAAAGAAACAAAAGACACCAAGCGAAAAAAGAAAGATCAACATAAAAATACAAACAGTAATTATGATCAGTAAAAAGGAAGAGAAGTTTTTCCGATAATTAGATTTAACGAACATGAAATATCAGCCTGTTCGGCTGGGGCTGAAACGATCGTATACGATCGTGGATTATTACTGCTGGTGGTTTGGTGTGAGAGAAAATCTGACTGGAAATTTACGATCGTTTATGACCAAACGAACAGGGCGTATAGCGGCAACTACAGGAGCATAATAATGCATTCCCTTGGCTATTCAATGTTAGCGTGCACCTTACAACCGCCGCCTAGAAACTATATGTCCACGATCCCCCTTCTAGTACACACTCATATGATACAAAGCATATGTACATTCTCTCGCCAAGCGGTGCAAAAGCAAAACAGAAACAATTACAGGGAACTTACATAGGTAAAATCTTGCTCAGAGTTGCCATTAGATACCTTGCCTCCATTATATATACAAAAATCTCAACTCCTGCAGAAAACTATAGTCTTGAACGTCGGAAGTACCTGATGGGATTGAATGGACCAAGTTGCCGGGCAGAAGCAAATGTTGGCCGTCCATTCAGGGACACTGTCGGCTTGATGTCCCATCCTTCAACATTTTTCGGAACACAAACATCAAACAGGATTTGGCCAAGGACTCCTTTAGGCTCCATGCAGGGTGGATGGGACATGTTGCGCCTCTGATCCTCAATCAGAGAACCGGGTTCCCGAGATTCATCATGATCCTTCGAACTTGGCAAGAAGAAGTGATCACTAGGACTGTTAGCTACCCTTCTTAAGCTCTCATTTGAATTGGCTGCAGCATTGTGTAGACTGCACACCGAGTGCGCTATCTTGTACTCCTGGTCACCAGCCATATTTAAGTCATATAGTTGGCTTCGGTGGCAGAAGGTAACAAGAGCCTTCTTCAACATATCATCTACAGCTGTTCTGTATTCAGTTTCATGTGAATTGTAATGGTCTGCAAGTAATCAGAAAAGTGATTTGATTATCTGTAAAATGTGACATAATGTCTGGCAGCAGAGAAGAAAAATTTGAGGTTTCAAGTTGACCCACATATCTGCAGCAGCTAGAACGTGTGTATTATAATGCTGTCTCCTACTATTCTAGTGTGACCATCCTGATGCCTAAAGCTAAGGCGGGCATGGAAATTTCCTTCCGCTTGTCATTTCCTCAACATTTATAAGTAAACTCCCATTCCAAATATTCTGTGTCCCTGAGAAATTGGCAACAGCCCCAATCCAGGTATCGGAACATGTGGTTCAAGTCCGCCTTATAAAAAATTGGAGTACGAATAAATCATTACATTCAAGTGTTAATTGCTCATGGATGTGATACATATTGGACTTGTTTTTTTTTTCTCGAACAGCGCAGGAGAACTGCGCGTCAGAACTGCGCGTCATTTCATTAAGGTAGAAGAAATGTTACAAGGGTTAGAGACCCGACACACACCCCACACCCTAGACACTAAGATACAGACTCGCCACCCAAAGATCAAGAATGACCAAAAGCCTCCGAGCATTAAGCTACAGCAGGCAGCGACCTGATAACAAGCTCCTGGAGTTTGGAAGCCCCAGCCGAGCACCAAAGCCCCCCCTCCGCGCTAATGGACCTAAGGACCTCCTGAACACTTGGCCTCTTATTATAAAAAACACAAGTGTTGCGGTGCTTCCAAATCTCCCAGGCCACCAGGATTATCAAGGAATTGAGGCCTTTACGCGCTTCTTTGGGGACAGCAGCAGTAGACCTCCTCCACCACCCTGAGAAACGAGTTACAGCAGACTGTGGTGCCAAATGTAGCAGCCCAAACTGATGCAAAACCAGGGACCAGACCTGTCGAGTGAAGACACAGCCCACTAGCAAATGATTTATTGTTTCATCCTCTTGATCACATAAGGGGCAAGACTCAGGATGGGGCAGATTCCTCTTTGCTAGTCGATCAGCTGTCCAAACCCGGTTGTGAAACACCAACCAAATGAAAAACTTACAGCGCAGGGGAGCCCAGGTTTTCCAGATCCTTCTCCACGACCCAAACTTGATGGATCCAAGAAAGAAGGCTGCATAGGCAGACTTGCTACTATAGGAACCATCCTG